CACCCCAGGCGCTGACAGCTCCGCCGGCCGGCTCCCTCGCTGACCGCCGACTGTCAATGGAGCTGGAAAACATCGTGGCCAACACGGTCTTGCTGAAAGCCAGGGAAGGTAAGAGCAGGGCGGCGCTCCTGGCGCAGTGGCCGCGGGCCGGGGCGCGGGTGCCGGCGGGGTGGGCTGTGCGTGTGCCGGGTGCCCGCAGCGAGTCGCGAAGCAGGACACCTCGGAGGGCTGCCCCGCCAGTGCCTCGGGGCTTGGCGCCCTTTGGATCGGAGAATTGGGACTCGGGCAGCGAGGGGGGTGGCCGCTCTGTCGAGGGTGCAGGGATTCGGATGCTCCGGGCTCCCCTCCTTTCCAGTTCTGACCCGGCAGAGCGTGCCATCTCGGCAGCTCGGAAAGGTCAGTCGGAAAAGCATTCATTCAGGGAGAGATGGGCAAACATGCAAAGGGAATCGCTTCTGGCGCCGGCCCGGGATGGTTCTGAGTGTGAATCGGTGTGAGTATGAGTGAGTGTGTGTGTGGGGAGGGAGGGTGGAATTAGCTAAGTCTTTGCTTGCGCAGGCTGAGTTGATAGAGGCTATTGCTGGAAGCCATCCGCGGGGAATGTTTCTTAGGGAAATCCCGTCGTGTGGAAGGAAGCCTTTTAAAGGCAAAGTAAGATGTTGAGGAATTAGCCTGTTCGTGGCATCAAGAAAGGATGGTTGTACAAATCACTGAGAAAATGAGTCAGGATTTCAGGGGTGGGTGTTTGTTTTGTTTTTTAGGGGAGGGGGGATGGGGCGGGGGAAGAGACAACCGAACTGTTTGATTTCTGACACAGATAAGAGAAAGGATGGTAAGTGTATCGGCATTTAGATGTGTTCTGGTGCATAATCATTAGATTTCCTGCATCTAGCCAGGCAGGAAACCTTGTCTAAATGAGTGGGGTAAGATCCGAAGTCAAACCCAATATATTTTGACTCTTCCTCAAAGTGCCCCCCCCCCCACCAGAAACTTAGATGCTTCCTGAAATGATTTTGCTGTGTGTCTGTAAACACATACATTTAGGAACACCTGGAATTTTATGTAACATCTGTTTGCCAAGACTTAAACTCTGAGGTGCAGCCTTTTTGTAAAAGGGGAAATGGGTTTTCCCTTTCGTGGGAGGAGGTTTGAGTTGACACCCAAGGTAGGTGGAACGAAGGTCTCGACTTCAGAAAGAGCCTTGAGGAGTGGCCCACAATCGGCCTTACTTATATCTGAATCTTTTCATTCACCTGCTTTGATGAATGAAGGTAGAACTTCTGACCAGGAATAAAATGATTCATGTGTGCCCAGCCCCTTCCACTGCCCTGTGGCTTCTACAAGCTGTGTGGGTCTGGGATCCACCAGGGGGGTTTCGGCGATTCAAAGGAACATCTAGGGGGTAATTTTGTCTGTTGTCACTTGTCGCTCTGGAAGAGGTACGGCCTGGCAGGTTTGCGTTGAAAGCACTGAAGGAAAGTGGAAGAGGTGGTGGTGGTGAAGGTGGTGGAGGTGGAGGTGGTAGAGGTGGAGGTGGTAGAGGTGGAGGTGGAAGAGATGGTGGTAGAGGGGAGTGGAGCCCATCCCTGACTCCTGGAAATCCCATGTGTCACAGAGCAAAGCTGCTCCTCAGGTTTAGGACCAGGCTCCTCAGGGTGGTCTTCACTGTCCTCCTGTGGAAACACACCACCTCTGGGTGGGTTTGAACTGCCAACTTTTGGGTTAGTTGTTGTTAGCTGCCATTGAATAGATTCTGGCTTCTGGACGTGTGCAGAATAGAACCTCAAAGCCGGAAACAGGGCCCGAGAGTGTTCAAGCGGCACCTAACGGTGTGCCCCACCCAGGGCCTGGCTTGAGCTCAGCTTTGGCGTGAACAGGGTTTGGGGTGACTTCAGGCGGAACAGCCTGAGGTTTTTGTTCTTCGTTTTTCTCTTTCACTTTTTCCTCCTAACCTCTCCTGATGTTTTTAGCAAACTGGATCTGGGCGGGAGCTAGAGGGACTGGGACTGGTAGGGGAGGGCAGGCTAGTCAACAGCCCCTCGGAGGTGGCCTCTGTAGCCGGCCACCTAGTGGTGAGACATGGTAGAACCGCTTAGGGCTAGAGGGGCTGGGAGGCTTTCCACTCTTCCTCCACTCTGAAATGATTTCTTAGGGCGTCACTTCAGATGAGGGTGGTTGGGGTCTCTCCTGCTGCCCAGGGACTTCTCCAGACTGGTCTTGGACCATCCTTGGCCAGTGGGATGCCCCCCCACTCCCATCCCTATCTGGTTGCTTCTTGAAAATGTCGTGCTTAGAAGAGGCAACATGAGTGGTAGCCTGACTCCCTTTGCTTAGAGGGTCACCCAAGGATTCTGGCTGAAATTACTTTCCCACCCGGAGTTTCTGACCCTCGGGCTACCAGTTCTGTTTTCTTAGAGCCTTAGGCCCAGTGTGTTGCTGGAAGGCTCCAGGGCCGAATTACTGAGAGGGAAAGAGCGCTGAGAACATGCCTTTTGCTTCCTTTCCTTCTGAAGCCCTTTCACTTCTCTCGGAGGGTTTCATAGTCAGCTCGGGGTGAGAAAGGGACCCTCCAGATGCCTTTCAATCGAGCAGCAGATGCACGTGCTAGAGAATAATCCCTTAATGGAAACTTCATTTCTAATTCGATTTTCATACAACCCCCCTACCCCCACCCCATTTTCTCAATTACATCTAGATGTTAACTGCTTCTACTCTCTTTGGTCTGGGCCTTTATTTAAGACTTGAGCCACATGCATTGTAATTGGTGTGAAGGATTTTAGAAATAAAAGCAATGTACTTTTCCCTTCTCAGTTCAGCTCTTGAAGCCGTTCTGTGACATTGACCAATTCTCCAAATAGGCACAGTCTCCGAATATCTAGGAATGAGTGCTTCAGCCAGTTAATGGAGGAGCTCGTATAACAAATGCCAGCCTTTCCAACGATTGGAAAGGGTGGTCAGGTGGAGGAACACTTCCGAAAAGGTTCTTGTGGATGGCTGCGGATGAGACATCTGGCCAATCGGGGCGAAAGGGAAGTCTGATCAACTCACTGCCACCAAATACCCTTGTAAGCCATTTAAGATGTGGCTTTTCAGCACAAGTCCCATTTGCCCCAGCCAGTGGAGAAACAGACTTCCCAGAGAGGCAGACACGCGGCAAAAGCTGCGACAGGAGGTGCATTGATCAGTGCTGGCAGGTCATTTTAGGGCCTATCTTTTGTCAATATCATGTGCCCATGAAGGTAGAGGGCTTGTAAATTCAATGTAGAGTCGAGTTCCAGTCATCTTGAAACCTGTTTAAAATGGAAATCTAATGAAGCAGTATAATAGAAAGCATCTAAAGAGGAAACAGTTTAAAAAATGATCCTGGTGGTTGCTGGGCATTGGAAAACATAGCAAGCACATTGTACCTTTGTGAGCAAATATATCAAACCCGCTGCCTTCGACTCCATTGCGATGCATATGTGACCTTCATGGGAGCAGAAGACCACATCTTTTTCCCGTGGAGCAGTTGGTGGCTTCCAGCCACCCACCTTACCATCACCAGCTGAGTATATAAGCTCCACGCCACCACTGGAAATAAGAAAAGATCGGGATTTAGGTTTAAGCTTTCAAACCACTGAAATGTACTTTGTGGGCTGTTTATTTGTCCTCATCTCACAAGAAACATTAACTCGATCCCTCTTAGCTCTAGATTGCCCTCCTTAAAAAGTGGTTAAGGGCAAAAAAAAAACCAACCCAGGAAACAAAACAAAACGTAAAGATGGAATTCATGCCAATTTATGGGAATGAGCTAAGTGGTTAAGTATTTAATGAAAAAGAATTTCAGGATTGGGTCTGGTATAAGATCAAATTCACCATTGATTACCATCAAATCAATTCCAACTCCCAGGGACCCTTTAGGCCCAGACAAAACTGCCCCCACGGGTTTCTAAGGCTGTAAATCCCAATGGAAGCAGCCTGCCAGCCACATCGTTCTCCATAGAGACATCGGCGAGTTCCAACTACTGACCTTGAGCACTTAACCACTGTGCCACCAGGAATCCTTAAACTCGCCTCTACCAAGGGCCGTGCACCTTGTGCCTGGGAACTCCCAGTGTTCTTGTGAAATCACCCGGCTCATGGATGGTATTTAAAGTCCACCTTTGTTGGTGAGGCATTTGTGCTTCAAGATAAAGCATCTTGATGCGTAGAAATCTCTGACTTCAAGATGTCTTAGGGCTTCAAAAAGGTTCCTTCAAGGTCCTGCCTTGTGGAGATGAAAATCAGCCGGAAGTGACTTCTTCAGCCCTGCTGCTCTCCGCCTCCACCCTCTGATGACAATAGAATCGTGAAGACAAGGGGTTCTAAGATGGATCAAAGGGCCTTCCAGATGATAGCTATTTTCAAGCACATCCTGTTATATTTCAGTGAAATGTTTTTATTTCAAAGTATCCTCCTTCTGAGTGGAAAGATTCTAATCAGGAGCCCTGGGGGCACTGTCAGGTAAGTGTTGCCCTGCTGACTGTAAGATTGGTGGTTGGAACCCACCAGCTGCTCCTCAGGAGGAAGATGAGGCTGTCAGTGCTCGTGGAGATGTACAGTCTTGGCTGAGGGTCACTATGAGTTGGGACCATCTCCATGGTAGCAGGTTTGGAGTTTTTATTTTGGTCACCGGTGACAAGATTTTAAGTAGCAAATCAAGCTTGATGTTTTCAACCTTGTGGGTGAAGATGGTGAGATTCCATTGAGAACCAGCCTAAGACTGTCTTTAATCAGTCAAATCATCTGTCACAGAGAGCTTGGACTCGGCCCCTGCCCCATCTCTGGGGTTGACTCCTGCTCCTGGGGAGCACTTGCAAAGGTCACATTCCTTCGTTCACTCAGGATTTCATTGTTGAAGGGCCCTGTGCTGAAATGACAATGGAACTGGAGATCCGTTGTCCTTAGACTTTGAAACAGGTAAATGAGAAAGGAAGGGAGCTGGACTC